TATACTATGAAAATATACAATGAAACCGGACAACGAATGTTCAACCCGCCATCAGCGGCCACATTGGTTTAATGGTTATTTAGGTTATTACATATGTCTTGGTATTGTGTAGGCAAATCTATGTGTCGGTTAATGCTGTTTGTTGATATGGATAATATGGCCTCTATGATCAGTCTTTGGTATTTATTGGAGATGTTATTGTATATGGTGGTGGGAGAAGTTAGATTGAATGAGTGGCCGGTGGTGTTAATATGATTGAAGATAAGCGACCTGTTGTCTCTGTTGGTAAACAGGTCGCTTATCTTCAATCATATTAACACCACCGGCCACTCATTCAATCTAACTTCTCCCACCACCATATACAATAACATCTCCAATAAATACCAAAGACTGATCATAGAGGCCATATTATCCATATCAACAAACAGCATTAACCGACACATAGATTTGCCTACACAATACCAAGACATATGTAATAACCTAAATAACCATTAAACCAATGTGGCCGCTGATGGCGGGTTGAACATTCGTTGTCCGGTTTCATTGTATATTTTCATAGTATAACCATCTGCTAATTTGCCAATTGATTGTCATATGACATTACATGATTAGCATATTTGTAAATATCATATACAATAGTTTTAGATTTGCAAAATATTTCTTATCTTATATTATATTTTAACCGTCCTATATTCTTCTTATATGTAAATATATTTTAAAAATGGAATCTTATATAAAGCCTTTTGCCACCATGTATCTTTACCTGTAGAAGGGCGAGGCTGCCCGAAAGCTCGTAGCCCATGTATAGTAAAAATAAATAATTTTCTCTTCGTTTTTATAATCTTTTTACAGTGCTATAAGAGAAATTTTCATGATTCAAGGGTAACACTATATTACAACATATATATATATTTTGCTTATCCCTAGTACACATGGTACAAGCTATAATAATCATGGTGGGTAGAAGTAGGCGACTGTTTTTACTGTAAGTGCACCACATGTCTACACATGTGAAAAGCAGTTTGACTTTTCACTTACAAATTTTCCAGAGCCCCATTTGGTTACTTGCACTCGCTGGTGGGGTTGGAATTTTGCAAGAATCGGAGGTCATTTGAGCATTTTTTTTTTTATCAGAAAAAAATGCCCAATGCGGGAATCAAACCTGGGTTTAGCGGTCGAAAACCAACGATTTAGACCATCCTTCGAAAGACCCCAAACGTACATATAATAAGGCTAGGTAATGGGAATATATTTTTGCCATCTCAAACAGTCCCCCCCCTTAGAGAGTTGACTTTACAATCTCTAAGTTGGTACTGCGCTTGGAGAGTCTCCTAAGAGAGATACAAGTGGAAATGCTATTCCAAAAAATGGCAAGCTACCTGAAAAGGTTCTGGCTCACTTTTCCCTGGGAGTTCTCGGCTCTGTAGCAGCGGCTGTAACCGACCAGCCGGATTGGTAACTCCTCCTCTGCCAGGGTCTGTCCAGCATAGAGGGCTGCCAGCGCATTCTCTGCAGTACCAGATAGACAGAGTTCTTCCCCTGCCCACTCCGGTGACAGCTGGTACACCTGCACAACATACTCCTCTAGGAATACCACAATTTTGATATTGTACCAGCCTGACAAACAACCCAGTAGCATATGTAGCTGAAACATCAAAACCTCTTTTAATTGATTATTTCAAATAATTATCTCTGAGTAACCAATGTGGTATATAGGATAAAGCACAATTTGGATTATAGATACAATAAATTAAGACTTAATCCAAATAAATTAATAGTGTGTGATGTTTCCTAGAATATTTATTCTTTTGTCTGATGATGGTAGCACGCAGTTGCCAAAACATCAAACACTATTAATTTATTTGGATTAGGTCTTATTTTCTTGTATTAATGTGATATATATAATCATCATACAGCACACTCCTCACTATACCCCATACTAAGGCTAGTCTAATAGAAAAGCAGAAGCAGCAGTGAAAATAGCTAAGTCTTCTTCTTCTTTCTTATCTCCACACTGGGTGAAGTAGAATGTGTCTGCCTTTGTCATTAAGACTGGGAGCACTACTCAGTGGCAGGCCGATTTAGCTCCAAAATAAATGGCTGCCTCTGATATGAGGAATAGACGCCATGTGCAGCTGCTCCTAACATGGGGTACAAATGCTGCTCATCCTGTATACCTGGATTAGGAGCCCTTACAGGGTACTATCAGCCGGGCCAGCTGAGCCCAGGTTTTTTAGTGAGCTTGTTACTGCCCCCCTCCTTTTCATCCAGGCTTGGGACTGGCAAGGGCGGAGTTAAAATAGCTAAGTAATATAGTAAAGAAAACAAATCACAATAAACAAGGTTTGTGGGTGGGAATCCTGGAATGGAGAAACACTCCAATGAAGGATTTCAATTGTAGCCCAGTGTGCAAGCCCCAATGTCAAGAAGGACAAGAACCAAAGTCCCAACCTATGATACACTTATGAAAGATATTCATACCAAAATCCTGAATATACAAGAAAGAATGAAAAGAGAATATGACAAAGGAGCAAGAGAGATGAAGGAATTCAAGGAAGGTCAGAGGGTGAGATTAAATCCAAAAGGAACATGACACAAAGGAATATGCTCGAAAAAATCGATACAAAGTCATATGAAGTTCAAGGAAGAACAGGCCGTAGAAATCACAGAGATATAAGAGAAACAGGAGAAAAGTCCCCTACTCCAGAGTTAGAAGAAAAGAATCAGCACAGACCCACAATGGTGGAAGAACGGCCAAAGACGCCTCAAGATATGGACTCGGAAGAAGATCATGAAACTCGAGAGGATACCTTAACACCAGTCAAGAAGACAAGATGTGGAAGGACAGTCAAAACTCCACCAAGATACAAGGACTACCTCCTTGACTTCCAGGGATCTTCTAAAGAAAGGAAGATGTTGTTATCATCATCAATATATAGAGCCCAATGTAAACAAACCACAGCTTGTGAACCGACCTGTAAATAAATCAAATCTTTATTTAATCTCCATTTATTTAGTTCTTAAGAAATTTGAACTATTTTTGATGCGTATGATTCTTTTAAAAAATAAATCAATTTTCTACTGCACTTACTGCAATGATAAAAATAATGGGAGGGCCTGGCTCATCAGTGGTGAACCCTCCCAGCGGTTTTGTGCCAGTTTTAATCTACCATACCGCTGTAATATTCTAGTATTAAAACTGGCGAAAGCGCTGGGAGGGTTCACCACTGATGAGCCAGGTCCTCCCATTTTTTATCATTGCAGTAAGGGCAGTAGAAAATAGATTCATTTTTAAAAGAATCCTACCTGTCAAAAATAGTTCAAATTTCCTATAACAGATGGCGCTCTAATGCATTGTATGAATATTGTGTTTTAAAAATACTTTTACTCGAAATTTGCAGAAGAGCAATGCTTGAAGCATATATTATCTTTATCATTATATGTACAGTAAAACCCCGCTAATACGAACCCTGGATATAACGAACCTTCCCTTATAACGAACCCACGCCGATTCCCAATTCCATTCCATTGAAAATACCATCGTTATAACGAACTTTGCGATTTTTAGAATAACGAACTACCCCTATAACGAACCTATTTTCGGTCCCAAAATAATAAAATCTATTTAAAATACTATGCTTATAACGAACTTAGAATTGTAATTTAAAAAAAAAATTAAAACAACCAAATTTTAAGCATGTTTCAGCTCGCGGATCGCGATTTCAAAACAATAAATTTAGCGGCATTGTTTGTTTTGAATTTTGCACTTTTATTTTTGCTGTATGTTGTATAAATTTTAACACAATATACTTTTTATTAAATAGAATATATTTGCATCCATTAAATTTGAAATATAAAAATACAAATGGCTTCCAAAATGAAGAAAACAAAGGCATTTTAAAAACAAAAGCGTTATTTCTTAAAAAAAAAAAAAAAAAAAGGCCATTTTCAGAACTTTTCAAAGTGAAACAACACAGGCAAAATGTTAAGAACATATTAAAATAAGAGAATATAACTTTTCCATTATAAAAGATAAAATATAAAGCTATTAAAAATTGTTACAAAGAGGAATCAACCTCAACTTTTGCCGCGATCGCGATCGTACGTTTTAGGGCTAAAAAAAAAAAATCCAAATAAATGGTCCCGTGATCAAACAAAAACTATTTTTATGCCATTAACTATGGTGATTTTAAAGTCAGCAATGTTTTGCATGACAGGTTAAAAAAAAAACGAAATCTAGACCTAGAAGAATATGTGGGAAAATGAAATGGAAGAAAAACACCAACTTTATTTATTTGAATGGTGCAATGCTTGAAGAATGCTTTGAAGCAACAAGGTGTTCGAGCCATTTTTCCAAGTAAACAATGTATTATATAATGTGATAATGATGTTTTAAAATCATTTTATATCTTTGAATATATATTTAATAAAACTTTGCCTTTTTAAATTAGACATAGAGGTACATGTATGTTAATGATAAGAAGAACCTATCATCTAATGATTTCTATTATTATTCAGTATTAATGTAAGGAAATTGGTCAATTAAGGGAATTAAAACAAAGTGACCACTATTAAGAGGAAGCCTCTTCCAGTGTGTATGGCTGTCCTTTAATTATACGGTCTAAAAATTTTGAAAAGTAAAAAAAATGGCCAAACCGTGGCTATAGTGAACCAAAAGCTCTGTCCCATTGGGGTTCACTATAGAGGGGTTTTACTGTATTTACACTGTCCTCAAATCTTATTATATATTATCTTTATTTTTAACACTTTGAGGACGGACGATTCCGCAGTTGCATGGTCCACTGGGTCGTATGAAAATCGAGTTGTTTACTTGCAGTCGCATCAGGTTTTTCGCGACAATTTTGAATGGCACTCTCTCAGCATCATAGATCGATTTAGAATCCTATAAAAAAGTAGACCCATTAAAAATAATCTACTTATATATTTGCCTTATTCTGTCTGTTTGTTTGTCTGAAGCTCACGGATGGGATTTTTCATAACCATCGGTGGTTCAGTGGTAGAATGCTCGCCTGCCACGCGAGCGTGCCACGCCGGGTTCGATTCCCGGCCGATGCATTTTTTTTTTTTACAATTTTTAAAACTCATTTATATATTATACAAGAATGACATCCACGGCGCCAATTTATAATTGTAACGAATAGTATTTGAATAAAAGCATTTAATCGGGTAAAACCCGGGCGTTGCCCGGGTCATTCGTATATAATAATTGTATAAACGAATGCAAGACAAAATCACCGCGAATGTTTCTTTTTTTTAAGGCAATTTCTTTTTAAGGCAATTATCGTTAATTTTTGTTTCGATTTTATTGAAAAAAAAAAACGATATGGTGCCTTTAAAAAATGATCTTTATTACTATGCAGTTTTCTATTTAGTCAATATACCTAAGTTCATGTTGCAAATGTAATTATCTCTATCGATTTAGTAGGTGAAATGCAAAAAAAAAAAAAATCGACATGATGAAATCTTTATGAAAATTCACATTTTTATTTTTATATTTTCAAGACACACACAGTTTGGGGCGGGACGTTTCACAAGAGAGACATCCACGGCGCCAATTTATAATTGTAACGAATAGTATTTTAATTAAAACATTTTAAAAACACACAGTTTGGAACGGGACGTTTCACAAGAGTGACATCCATGGCGCCAATTTATAATTGTAACGAATAGTATTTGAATTAAAACGTTTTTAAAATATATGCGCACTCGGGTAAAACCCGGGCGTTGCCCGGGCCATTCGTCTAGTAATAAATAAAAACTTGTTTCATAAATGCAATTTTAATTTTAATATAATCTATGCACTTTGAAAGAATAAATTTTATAGGTACATTAGGTCATTTGACATCCCCCCAACCCACTGATAGATAGAAGGTAAGAGACAAGATCCTGGTGAACGTGAATTCGTGTCGGCCGCCGGTGATTTTATATTTAATTTTGAAAATCGAGGACGCAAATTCACGTTTTTTCGAGCTTGATGCAAAATCAGGAAGAACGCGAATTCACGTCCCTCGGGTCGAAAGTGTTAAAAGAATCCTACACGTCTAAAATACTTCAAATATCTTATAACAGATGGGGCACTAATGCATTGTATAAATATTCAGTTCTTCACAAGTCATATATGTATATCAAGCAAGAATGCTTATGAATTGCTATATGAAGCAAGAAAACTAAACAACAGTTACCTTATGTTTCTAATCTATAATCCAAACTGTATACCTACTGTTATGCTATTTGAAATAACATACACAAGAGGAAACACATATATGCTTTATTAAACAGCTAGAATGCATACTGATAGGAATATAGCCAAAAAGCAGACAACCATAAAGGATTTATTTAAAATATCTTAATTTTATAAATAAAATTTTGTACTTTTGCTCTTTTCCTAAATTTATTTACTTCTAACTGCACTTATTCATGTATATAAAAATAGTATTTTTATTTTCCAAGTTTAAAAATGTGTATTGAGGCAATTTTATCCCTCATTAAATGTAATCATGAAGCATTCTGAAAAGCAAAAAATAATACAGTGGAACTTGGATAATTCGAAGCCCAAGGCACCAAAAAAATTTCAAATTATACAAAAATGTTAATTAAAAACAGAAATTATATTTATATGAAATTCAAGGGACCAAGATAAATATTTGAATTTGTAATGATTCTATATGCAGATTTTATTCTTGGAGAAAAAAGTGCAGCATATATGTAAATATGTATTAATTTTCTGATAGAAAATTAATTATGTAAAAATGATTGGATATATATAGAGTGTAAGAGGAGAGTGAAAGGATCCCATTTTATAGAAATAAATATCTTATACCGTATAGTGTTCGTCAACTGCTATTTTGTTAGGTAGAGAACACGACAGAATTAAAGATGTTTTCAAACTAAAGACGTTTGAATTATCCAAGTTCTACCGTATTAATTCAAAAATATTACAATAATGAGTTGATATTTGGAAATCCTATATAAAAATGGCCACTACGATTGAATGTTGTGATGATCATCTTAACTGACTTTATTTCAACACCTACTTTAAACCAACTGAAAACTCTCTGATCCCTTGGGGTGTTGAATTAAAGAGGTTGTACTATTAATGAAATAAAAAAGGTACAATGGTGTTGATTCATTTCATTAATTAAAACAAGCCTTTATTAGCACCAATGCTCCAAATTGGAATTTTAAATTAATATTACGAAATTATTTTAATAAAAATACAGTGGAACCTCCATGAGAGAACACTCACTCTAGAAGACACCTCTCTATAAAGGACAGTTTTCATCGCCAAAAATACCATTTTTACTATTTAGCAACTCTCCAATAAGAGGACATCTCTCTCTAAAGGACACTTTGGCTCGGCAACTAGGTGTCCTTTACGGGGAGGTTCTACTGTAGTATTTTAATGAGTTAATATTTGGATATTCTAGAAAAATGTCCACCAGCAGTTGTGAGATGAATTGGTAATCACCTAATTGACTTTAATTCAACTGAAAGTTCTGATCCTTTGGGGTGTTGAATTAAAGAAGTTAGACTGTATTTAGTTAAGCAATTGATGATCTTTTGATTGAAAGCTGCCAGTTTTCAATAGAGAAATTCATTGCATTTATAATCTGTGGTGATAGTTTGGTTCATATTGACATTTAGATTTGAGAGATTATTGACATCTACAGCCTTTACCAGTCCCAAGTCCAGATGAAAAAGGAGGAGGGGGAGCAGTAACAAGCTCACTAAAAAAACCTGGGCTGGGGTTCGATGGAAGGATGGTCTAAACTGTTGGTTTTCGACCGCTATGACCCGGGTTCGATTCTCGCATTGGACACTTTTTTCTGATTTAAAAAAAAAAAATGCTCCAATGGCCCCCTATTCTTGCAAAAGTCCAACCCCACCAGCGAGTGCAAGTAACCAAACGGGGTTCTGGCACATTTGTAAGTGCAAAGTCGAACTGCTTTTCACATGTGTAGACATGTGGTGCACTTACAGTAAAAGCAGTCGCCTTCTTCTACCCACCATGATTATCATGGCCTGTACCACGTGTACTAGGGATAAGCAAAAAAAAACTGGGCTCAACTGGCCCGGCTGTTAGTACTTTGTAAGGGTACCTGATCCAGGGATACAGGATGTCTGTATATGACATTTGTTCCTCATGTCAGAGGCGGCCATTTCATATTGGAGATAAATCAGGCTGCAACTGAGTAGTGCTCCGAATCTTAATGAAAAAGGCCGACAAATTCTACTTAATTCAGTCATGATGGATGTTAAATCTCTTTTGATGAGATCTACTCATCAGCAGATACCATCAAAAGTCTCAAGCTCTACAAGCTTGATACCCTATCAAGTGGAGATAAGAAAAGAAGAAAAAGAGTATATGGAATTTTTAGGTTATTAGTTGGGTTTATTTAAGTTAAAAGTAAGGGGGGGGGGTAGGGTTGGGCTAGGTTAGGTAGTCACAGATCAAGTAATTTCAGTGGTCTATCAGAAAAGGTCTGAAAGGTTACTGAGCTCTTAAGTACTCTATATGATTTATGATGACAATGCACTAATTGAACATCAGGTATTGTTCACTTTAAAATATCATCATCAACTTAGTGCCAAATATATAATTATAATTTTCATAGTTTACTTTGTTGGGATTAAAGATTTCAAAAGGATCAAATAGTTTCAACTGTCTAGCAATGGATTCTTACCTGGTGATCAATGTCTTTTGATGTCATGCCACATTCTTTAAGAACTTCAACTGGCATAATATCTGGGCATGAAACTTGTAAAAAACCTTTTTGTTTGAAATAATCTAAAGAAAAATGTATCAGGGCCAATTCTAATTGTGCTAAATCATGCTTTAGAAAATATGTTTTTCTTCCATTTGTGTTGGAATTATTATTTGTCTTTATTTGATCCCATAATTTGCCAAGATCACTTAATTCTTTTGGTTTAAAATCTATTTCTTTCTTTTGTCCTATAACTTCGGAAATTAGTGGTTTTTCGAGATGTAAAACATCTGGGTGAATTTTATTTGGAAATGAATTAGCAAGTTGCAAAAGTTCTTTGTCTATGTTTTGATCATTTAATTTATTTGCGTAAGGTATAGTATATAATCTATCTATTTCTATTTGTAATCTTCTTGCTTTTAAACCATCTAAAATTTCTTGTTTATTTGAGGGATTGCATAAATATTCTAAATTAAGCTTTGAATATTCGTAATGTTTATGCCTACATATCTCTTTATTGATTCTTTGTAATGAAAATCGCAATCGTCCAAGCATTTCTATAACTTGTAAAATATCTGCATTTAAGTTTCGGAACGGAGAAGCCGAAAATATCAACTAACTACTAAATATACGTAACCCGAAACTTTGGGGTACAGTAGTGGCTATCTTATTTTTATTTCACGTAAATTTATTTCATGTAAACATTCAAAAATGAGCTCTTGATTTTAAAATCTGTGTCTAGTGTGAGTGAAAAAAAAAATTGTAAGCAATTTTTATATACTCATTCAAGTTTTTAGAAATATTTCTAACTTCAAACTCACGAATATTTTTTAAACTTTTTAATTTATAAAACTCTTTAACTTAAAAAAAAAAGCTTTTTAAAATCATCAAACATCTCAGGAATATTTGTAACAATTAAATTTACTGGTAATGAGTTTCTTTTTAATAAAATATCATTAAATATCATCTCTACAGACCTTACTATAATGATAAAAGTTATTGAATGAGTTTTGTCATTGCAGTAAAGTCCGTATAGAGATAATATTTTATAGTATATTATTTAAAAGAAACCCATTTTAAATCCATATTATAATATATAATATTGTGACGAAGAAATAATTTATTAATTAAATTATTCAATGAAACTATTCAACAGATTATATAAATATATATTAATCTTCATCTAAAATAATTATCAAAATATCTCTTTGCTTGCTTGCTCAAGATTCTCTAGCGGAAAATGGTTTTTGCTGACTTGTTAATAATTGTCGACTTGTCGCCGTGACGTCATCAATAAATACTTTTACATCTTAGGATATTTCAAGGCTTGATTTCTACGCTACAACTGGT